TCATTATTTTCTGACCATGTGATTTTAAAGATTGTCTGTCCCTCGATTATATTGTTCTCAACTAAGTGCTTATGCTTACGAGACTCTGGATGAAATAAGCAGAATCCAGAATTGCTGGGTTATCCAGAGAACTCACTGTGCTTGAATTCCAGTCAGTCAAAATAATGCTCAAATTAACTGATAATTTTCAGAAAGCATAATAGTTCACTAATTTTCTATTTCTTCTTAGAACTTGTTTCTTTCATATCTTTGATCCAAACTGTTTGGCATGACATTCTAGATAATAACCACTGGATCGAAAAGTTCTTAGTCTTAAATGGGCCATATGCTTGGTCAAGATACTATTGATACATTTATTTCTGCCAGAGTATCTTGGTTACACATTGCACACATGACTAAAGTTCACAAAATAGGCACACACCTACCTGAAAAGAATGAGTTTTACAATTATTCACACCCCTTTATGAGACACTGGGCCATCAGTGTGGTCTATGCTGGTAAAGCTAGGAGGTATATGAATATTTGCCACAGTGCTATCTAGTAAAAATATCTACAATGTTGGAAATATTATATATGTGTGCTGTTCAACATAGTAGCTACTAGTCACATGTGGTTCCTAAAATGTGTCTAAAGTTTAGTTTCCCAAACTAGGAAACTGAGTTTTGTTTTTGTTTTTTTTTTGTTTTTTTTAAAGAAGATTATTTATTTATACAAGAACTGGGGTATAAAGCCAGATGTGCAGGAGGGTGATAGGATTCACCAGAGACAGAGCGAAATTCAGTAGTTAATTTTACTTTATTTCAATAGCTAGTTGCTACCATGTTGTATGATTAGCATAAATCTAGTCAGTATGGCTTAAGGGAATGATTGTGGTATTTAAAACTAAAAGACTGTTAAGTCTAAAGTCCAGCTACTGTTACTTGCTATATAACACTTACCATGTACTTTATCTTATCCAAAGCCCAGTGGCCTCATTTACAAAACGGTAATAATATCAGAATCTCACAGGGTAGTAATTAGATGATAAATATAAAGTATCTAACCCAGTGCCCAGCACTCTTTGATAACAGCTATTATAAAGCTCCTCATTTTCCAGATGGACAAATGAAGCTCCCAATGAAGTGACTTGTCCACAGTTAGAGCTTCTTGGTAACATAGCCCATAATCACTGCAAGATTTTCAGGAGTTTTTTCCATGATATGTTTTCTTATAGAAATGAACCTTCCTCACTACTGAGGATGTAAGAGTGCTTGTCAAAAAAAATATCCAACTGCTGTAAAATATATCTTACACATTTGGTGAGTATGTACCTTGGTGAAGCCTATTTGCTCCTTCCGGAAATTTTCCAGGGGTTTAATCAGCAAATCACTAGCATTGTGTACCTGGAGAAAAGAAAGAAAAAAAAAGACAACTTTTAGATTAACAATGTTCAGCTTCAGGAGTCTATGTAATATACCATCTTGCAAAATATTCACAAGGTTGCCGGTTTGTTGTCTTTTGCTACTGTCTTCTTTTTTCTCATATTTATCTCCTAAAATCAGATGCTTTGAGAGGAAGTTAGAAAAGTAACACTATGGGCATTTCTCTGAAACATTACTGGTAGTCTGATTTTAATCAATAAATACCCAGAAATTTGTCCAGAAGCAGAGACAGGAGGCCTGAAGTGTATCTTGCAAAAAGAAGAGAAATGGAATGAAGAATCCATGAAAAGGTCACTTATACCAAGTGTAAACCATTTCATGAGAGGCAAATGAATAAGCATTTATAGCATCAGGATAAATCCCAGAATAAACTGTTTCTAATAATGCCCTGGTATGTCATAAAATCAAAACATTTCCTTCAATACTTGGAGTATATTACAGCATCATAGAAAACACTGGACCAAGCCTTCAAATTACCTAATTACTGATGCCCAGAAGCTGATAAGAACAGCCTGTCTAGAGACTAAAAATAGTGATATTGATAGGTTTTGGAAATATAAAAAAATCCTATCCAAATTAAAGCCCTTGTTCAGTGGCCAGGTAGAGATTTGTCAAGCATTGTCTTCATATAATCCTCTTGGATTGCATCTGTCCAAGGTAATAAGTATGGTTTGTTACTTTCAGGGGTATGTATTAGTTGCCCTTTAAGGGAGAGTCTTAGAGAAGGCATCAGAAGCACTGAACTTTTTTAAGTCATTGCATTAATTCTGATTTATCACAAGACAGGGAAATGAGGGTCTAGCTGCCTTGTCAGATGAAACATATGGTATCAGAGAAACAAGATATATCTTCATAATAAAAACAAAACACAGTAGAAAGCCAGTTATCCAGATCTGTATTTTCCAGACTAAGAAGCTTGTGTAAACTACTACCAAAAAACATGGCAAGTTGAAGCACTAGTACATATATTTTTAATACACTGCTGAGGGGAGCAGCGGGCGAGACAGGAGAGGTCTGTCACGAAATGTGGGACCCTCGCTGGTGGCCGGGGATAAAACCACCACTGCAGAGGCTGCAGGCAGCTTCGCAGACCAGCGCTCAACCGCTGCGCCACCAGGGAAGACCCACTAGTACATATTTTAATCAGGTTGTGCAGGCATTTTTTGGTCTCATGTTACATGCTCAGTTATGATTCAAGGCACGACTATATAGACAAACTCCTATAACCAAAGATCCACTAGCATCCCTCATATTAAAACAAAAAAACTCCAGTGGCTCTCTGTGATTGAAAACAAGAATTCTTCTACTGAGTGACCCCTGAGCACCCCTTATGGAACCAAGTAAAGGCAGAAGAAGGGCCCCGAAAAAAAGGTGAGCAGCAATCCAGGAAATTGCCCTCCAGCCAGCGCATGATTACCGGAGGCCAGAGACCTCCCATGCAACTGTGCACCCCATGCAGAAGAGCAAGTAAAGCCAGGAAGGCAGAGGGAGGCCCCAGCCCCTTGGTGAGAAGCAACCACTTAGGTGTCTTTTGGCCCACACACAGCATTAGAGTCTGCTAGAACCCCTACCACATGCAGAGACCATGCCCAGCATTATAGGTTAAGATGCACATGAATATGAAGTAAATATTTTTTAAACAGAGTAGTATTAATCAAGTCTCTTTACAGATATACAACTGAGCCTTTGCATATGCAGATACCCCAAGGATGGCAAAGTTGGCAACTTTTCATGTCCCAAGGGGAATTTCTTGCACCAACATGTGTGCCAGGAACTTATCACTAGGGTTCATAAGGACAATGTTTTTTACATGTATGGCCCTGTCTCAGACTTTGAAATTGTTCACTATAGTTTCCAATAATCACATTGGCAATAGTTCTCTCATTCTCATACAACACAATTAGATGATCTGAACCATTTCTTTGATACTCATTGGTTATTATACTAGTTTCTACAAGAACATAGACCTACAGACACAGCAAAAGGTCAGACTGAAGCTTGGCTCCATTTTCTTTTTCATTCTGTTTTATTCTTAAATCCCTTAGATATCTAGCAAGTATGCAATAAAGCCTTTTTTTAAGTAAACATGGACTTTAATCCTGTTTCTGATCACTGCATCCGTTCTGTGAGCTCATTAGGAGAAATGTTCCTACCTTCTATCTCAAGGTAGATGCTCTTGCATAAGTAATAACCTAAACGTTTCTATTAAATGAAGCCCAAATCAGCCATTTAGAAGAATAGAAAGGACATTCAGTTCACTACTATAGGATTATACAGAAATTAGAAGGCTAACCAATTACCAAAAGAAGACATACTATTTGAAATATTACTGGATTCTTGGCCATCCGCAAAGCAAAGATCTTGAGCATGGCAAATAGACTCTCTTTAAACATCAGAAACACATTCAGGCAAGCCTCCTACCCATAATCATGCAGGGAGTTTGTTATATAGACATTAAAAGGCCACCTTGTCAGATACACCCCTACGGTACTGTGTAAGAACATCACAGCTAGAATGCTCCTGATTTCCTCCCTCCAAAGTTCCTTTCATGATTTAAATTCATTTATGACATTTGCAATTATCAACTTGACATTTGCAATTATCTCATACTAGGACTGTGAACATCCTTCTTATTCTTCTAGAGTTTCTTTTGGTTTCTTCTTATAAAAAGGATAATGAGTTGTTTAAAGCTTTTCAGGTTATCCTCATTGGGGTACAGGTGCTTTTTTACCATAGTTGCAGGAAATGGGAGAGTTGCAATCAAGTAATGAATACCTGGCATATTATGAAAGGCCCTTGTAGAGGCTAACCTTCACAGCATTCCTGAAATTAAATGGGAAATGGGGAGCCAACAGTCAGAACATAATTAAAGAGTTGTGAAACAGAAGGGCACAATATAAAAACAGAAGAAAATGAGTCTGTTCCATGGAAAAGAGGAAGTAGGAAGGGTGAGAAAACAAGATCTTACTCAATCCAAATTCAATATTTTTTTTTCTTAAACTGGGGCACAGTCAGAGGTGCTAGAGGGTGAGAGAATTCACCACAGACAGAGCAGAACAGGCAGACAGACCGAAGACTGCTGAGGGGAGCAGTGGGCGAGGCAGGACAAAGAACACAGAGGCAAAGGCAGAGGTGTGGCCCTGTGGTGAAGAGCCCTGCCTCATTCTTATGCTCACCCTCAGCCATCAGCACCAACAGCCACCTAAACCTAAGGCCTTCCCCAGGAGAAACCCACAGACCTCCAACTAAAAGGAATTTTCTGTGACTTCTCTTCACCAACCTCCCTCAGTGGAGGCAGTTCTCCTCAAGGCCTCCTGCCTGCAACCATGCAGGACTCTCAGCAAACATGCCCCTTTCAGAACAGCTCTTTCTGCCCACTTGTGTCTTTGCAAGTGTACTTTATTATTCTGTCACTTTCCAAATAAATCTGCCCTTTAAATATAATTAACGTCTCTGTCTCATGGAGAACCTCGCCTGGGAAACTCGCCCTGTGCTGTTGAAAACGGAGCTTTGGTGAAACCTTTCCCAGAGTGAACCCAAGGACCCCGTACTCCAAACCCACTCACTCCATCATTCATCCTAAATTAATGTACATTATGTACTAGCCTTATGTCACAACATTGAAAATGCTAAGTTGTTATTCTCAAATGTACTAATTTATCAAAAAGGAGATTTCCAAAATAACAAAATAAAAATAAAAGGCATTTTCCTTATGATAAAATATTTTATCTTCTAAATTCTTGCCTTTCTCACAGGCAGATTACCTACCAGAGACTGTGAGCTAAAGTTATGCATATCACCCAATTTAAAATATGCATATTAAAAACCAGTAATGACAGTGGACATCCTTGGATTGTTCCAGATCTTAAGGGGAAGGATTTCAGTTTTTCACCATTGAGAATAATATGGGTTTGTTGATACAGCTTTTATTATGTTAAGGTATATTCCTTCTATCCCAAGAATTTCAAGGGCCTGCATCCTAAATGGACTTTGAGGAATGCTTTCTCGGCATCTGTTGATATGATCATGTGGTTTTCATTTTCCTTTGGTGAATTACATTAATTCATTTTCAGATGTTGAAATATCCTTGTGGCCCTGGAATAAATCCCCCTTGGTCTGGCGTATTATCCTTTTGATACACTGTTGAATTCTGTTTGCTAGGGTATTATTGAGGATTTTTCATCTGTGTTCACTAGGGAGACTGGCCTGTAGTTTTCTTGTTTTTGTGTTGTCTTTGTTTGGTTTTGGTATTAGTGTAATGTTGGCTTCAAAAAACTTATTTGGTCCTATTTCTTCTTTCTCAATTTTTTGAAAGAGTTTGTGTCAGATAGGCACCATTTCATCCTGGAACGCTTTGAAAAACTCATTTCTCAAACCATCTGGTCCTGGGAGTCTGTTTTGGGGGAGGTTTTTGATTACTGTTACAATTTATTTGCTTATAATTGGTTTTATTGCTGTTTTTTTTTTTAATTTCTTCTTCATATAGTTTTGGATGATTGTATATTTCTAGGAATTTGTCCAACTATTCTAGATTATTGAACTAACTTGCATATAAATGTTCATAGTAATCTCTTATTATCCACTGAGTCATCCTCATTTATAATCCAATTTATTTGTGTTTTCTCCCATTTATTCTTTGTTAGCCTGGCTAGAAGACATTGTCCAATTAGTTTTTCTTTTTTTTTCAAAGAAACAGCTTTTGGTTTCATTGATTTTTTTGGATTTTCTTTTTTATTTCTATTTAATTCATTGCTACTTGAATTGTTATTATTTCCTTTATCTTACTGGCTTTTGGGGGGCTTTTACTTATTCTTTTTCTATTTCTTTGAGATATTAGGTTGTTTCTTTGATTTCTATCTTGTTTTTTGATGTGAGTCCCTATTGCTACATACTTTACTTTTTATTTTTTTTCCTTCTGACATCTCTGTCAAATGTTACAGGTAATTTTAATTTTTTATTAC